GAGGTTCGACAGGCCGAGCTCCACGGCGTCGTAGGCCTGGCGCAGCCGGCTCGCCGCGGCGCCGCCGGCGCCGCCCGTGGGCACCATGGACGTGCGCATGTTGTGCGCCGCGGAGTAGAGCCGGTTCGGCGCCGGTCCGTGGTGCGACTTGTCGTCCTCGCCCTCGAACTTGCGGTACTGCGCGCCCTCGTGCATCTTGTGCTCCTCGACGACGTTGCCGCAGCCCGTCTCGTCGGCGCCGAGGCAGACGACGTCGCCGGCCCGGGGCTCGTGGAGGAACTTGCGCTGGTCGCGGTTGCCGCAGACGTTGCAGACGTACTTGGGCGTCACCTGGCTACGGCGGTCCGCGGCGGCGCAAAAAAATCAAGGGACGCACCTGGCTCGGGATGACGAACTCGGCCGTCTGGCCCGCGGCGAGCACCTGGCGCCGGTAGTCGTCGACCTCGTGCGCCTCGCGACCCGGGGCGACGGCGGCGAGGATGGCCGCGCGCGTCCCGGCGGGGAGCACGCGCGGCAGGTGCGCGCGCGGCGCCGCGGGCTCGGGGCTCCGCCCGCGCTTCCGCGACGGAGGCGGCTCGTCCTCGACGTTCGCGAAGCCGCCGGGCGGCATGGGGGTCGCGGAGCTGCTCATCGCACGCTCAGCAACAGGCCCAGGCCGAGGTTGCGCGCCACAAAGGGCAATTATTTTAACTAGGGTAGACACCATGCCGACTAACTAGACTAGATTTGGGGGCGGGGCGAGGTTTTTTTTGGGCGTCCTAGTACGCCTACGGACGCGTGCGGCCGCGCGCGCAGTACAAATTTTGACGGTCATCGGAGAATTTTTTTCTCAAAACCGGCCACAATGCCCGAATTTCGGACAAGGCGGCGCCAGTGGCGCTTCGGTGTCATTGCGGCTGCGGCCGGCGGGCGCCAAGGAGCACGTTGTACTAGTTTCTTCAAGTTCCAGGGATTTGTAGCTTCAACTTGATGATTGAAGTTCAACAAAATCTTCATGTTGAACGACTAACTAACTAGATTTCAGCCGGGGCGGGTTTGTGGCATGTTGTTCCTCATCATTTTTTTGGTTGCCCTTTGCGCGCCAAGCAAATTTTACCCTGCCCACCCGGTCAAACTTGACTTTGGGTGAGGCCCTCGAGCGGCTCGGAGAGCGGCCGCCGCGACAGCGCGTGCGCGGCGCCCCCGGGGAGTGGGGCCGCGCGCTCCCGCATGTGCCTCGGGACCGTGCGTGGCCAGACCACTGCGAAGACGCCGCGCGCGAA